TTTTTTTTCAGTTCTGGAGCCTAGAATTCCCAAATCAAGGTGTCAGTCAGGCCCTGCTCCCTCTGGAGGATCTAGGGAAGAATCTTTCCCCGTCCGTCTCTGCTTCTGGTGGTTGCTGTCAGTCCTTGCCATTCCTTGGCTTGTGTTTTCATCATGCCCTCTGTCTTCACATGGCTTTCTTCCCTCTGTGTGTCTCCTTGTCTGAATTTCCCTCTTTCTCTTCTAAATTCACCAGTCAGTGGATTTAGGTTCCACTATAATACAGTATGATCTCATGAGGTACCAGGTGGATGTGAATTTGGGGGGGATACCATTCAACCCAGTATAGGGGAATAGTTAAGAGAAATGTTACCACAATAAAATAACACTTCATACACACTAGGATGACTAAAATAAAAAAGACTATAACAAGTGTTAGTGAGGATGTGGAGAAATTGGAACCCTCATACATTGCTAGTGGTATTGTAAAACGGTGCAGCCACTTTGGAAAACAGTTTGGCATTTTCTCAGAAGGTTAAACATGGAGTTACCATATGACGCAGTAATCCCCCTACTAGGTGGGTATACTAGGAAATAATTGTATTTTTCTACGAACTTCTTGAAGTACTCTTGTATACCCAAGAGAATTGAAAACATTTGTCCACACAAAAACCTGTACATGGGGCCAGCCTGTTAGCTGAGTTGGTTAGAGTGCATGAAGGTCAAGAATTTGAATCCTTGAACCAGCCAGCCACCAAAAACAAAACAAAACATCTGTACACAAATGTTCATAGCAGCATTATTCATAATAAGCAAAAAGTTGAAACAACCCAAATGTCCATCAACTGATAAATGGATAAACAAATGTGGTATGTCCATATAATGGAATATTATTCAGCCATAAAAAAGAAATGAAGTACTGATGCATGTTACAACATGAATGAACCTTGAAAGGATTATGCTAAATCAAAGAAGCCAATCACAAAAAGCCACATGTATAATTTCATTTATATGAAATGTCCAGAATAAGCAAATCCATAGAGACAGTAAGTAGGCCAGCGGTTGCCAGAGGCTGAGGGGAGGAGGGAATGTGGAGTGACTACTAATGGGTTTGGGGTTTCTTTTTAGGGTTATGAAATGTTTGTAAATTAATGGTGATAGTTGTATAACTGTGAATTTACTAAAAACTTGTGAATTGTACACCTTAAAAGAATGGAATTTTATGGTATGTGAATTATATCAATCAATCTGTTATTAATAATAAAGATACAGGGATGTTTGATATATTTT